AATTTTAGAAATCAAATTGACGCGTGTAGGTTAACAAAGATTTTGTACATACATACAATTGGAAAGACTGGTGATTTTAAATTTTAAACTACGGGCAGTGTAGCAGCTATGTAAGAATACACACCTGATAATGGCCATTTAGGGCCGAAACATGTAGTGTAGAGGAAGGGAAGAAGAAAGAACTACAATTAAATTGTTGCACTTAAGACGAAATTTGTCTCATATATATTGTGTGAGTGTAACAGGATGCTTAAATATAATATCATGAACAGTTTTTTCTCGAGTACTGTATTGCATTGCTAATTATTTAACTACACCTCTTTTTCGCAACTGATTGATAATTTCAAGTTTCTGTTGAATACTTAACACAACACGCTTCATTTTACACCCTGACATTTTGCTAATGCACTTGAAGATCGATACAAAGAGACTAACTGGGGTGGTGTATCTGTCCTTGAAGCTTTCCGCAAATCATTGCATTCTTTCACCCCTACCATAGAACATTGTGTTAGCATAACGGGACCAAAAAATGCAGAGCTCGGTTCACACTAGTGCGAAAATAGTGATACAACTCACCATGTGAAACAAAAGTGAATGAATATTAAACAACATATAAGCCTCAAAAAAGCCCCAGTTAAGCCGCAAACTGGTTTATCTGCCCCCAGATAATCGAGAGTTGAGTATACTAGTGTAAATGGAGAATATCTTGAAAAGGAGTGAGAGTTTGTCAAATCTGGCATATACATTCTTTTGATGAAAGATCAATTCCAGGTCAACCTTGAACGACCCTCATATAAATCATCTATATGTATATATCATCATATGTATATAACATTCTCTATATAAGATGTCTATATAAGTAGAAGTTGGTGAAGGTCTATAAATTGTTGGAAAGATTTTGAAATATGTATTCTGTGGTGTGGCACAACGTAGATTTCAGGAGAGGAAAATAACTTAATTTTTACATAATAAGAAGATAGTAGAAAGAAATAACAATGTTGGTGAAGCAGTACGAGTATGTACTTAACTCTTTATTTCTTGGTGAGATGTAATGATTTATTGGAGCTGTGCATGTGAAATTTCATGGGAAAGAGATCATGACTTCTGTAACAAATTTTATTAAAACATTTTAGATAATTTAACAATAATAGATTGTGTGAAAACCATTCATGATGTTTATTCCTGGTTTAATGACTCACCTTTCTATCTTTAATTTTGCTTTTGTCTGTATTATTCTAGTTAACCACATTTCTTGCACTTCTCCTCTCATTAAAATGCTGTCTAAAATTATTTCTGATTTTGGTGCTACAGTGCCTGCCAGTTTTTCTAAGGCTTAAGGAGCTATTTCAGCATATGCTTTTGCTTTTCATCATCAGGCTTCTCATTTGAAAATTAAGGATAGCTTGAAAATGAGAAGAAATTCAGACAAATATTTGCTGGAATAATTTCAAAATAAGAAGAAGAAAATTAAAAGAATATTTAAGAACCAAAGGTGAAGCACCTGTAGTGATTTCTTATCTGCCAGACACTAAAATCTTATCACCTTTTGTGAACAGGTGAGAGGGATTTTCAGTCCCTGTTAGTCATAATTGCTTGCATATAATAAAACAGATGGAATCCATATGACATGAGTGAGATGTGTACTTCAGATTGGAGAACACATGCTTTTGCAAATAAGCTTTCTGCTGTTCTGTATACCTTTAATTTATTGCTGACACAACTGTATTGTTGCGAAGCTGATCGCATTCCAGAATAAAAATTTTCCCTAATTAAGTATACAGCAAATCGGTAAATAAAGCTGAGCTGTTCTTGTCAAACAAAATACATGAGGGCTCAAGCTGTCAACCCCAAATTGTAATGGCTACTAAACATGGGTGGAATATTGAGATAACTAGCGGTGAAGAATGAAACCAGTAATATCTGCAGCAGAGAAAGGAGGAAAGAAAGGAACCATGGACTGAAATGTCCATGTGTCGAAATAGATGGACACTTGCAGATGATAGGTAGCATCTTTAGAGTATGTGTGAAGCAGTGTAAAGAGAAACAAAACAACATAATGTAAATACAGAATAACAGTGGTACTGAATTACAAATGTCAAGTTCAGAACAGAGGAACGATTAATTGTAAGCAGATTCTAAAGTGTTCTGACGATGGTGTATAACACTCAAAGTTACCGGGTTTTTGAACTTTGTTAGGTATTCTAAAAGCTACAAAACAACGTTTTGGAAACTGGATCTGTTTTTGTCCTCAGGGGAGGGGGAGACACCTACTCTGTTGAGTCCATTGGAAAGAGCTAACCTCAGTCACTGGACAGTCAGAGTTGAGTTGAAGCTTATGTTATGACCAACGATCAGTCAGCAAGTGTGTCTTGGAACAAAGCACCCATCTGGGGCTTAAAACCAGATTCTTATCACTGTTAGACAGTTGCAGGTTTTTTGATATGGGACATTCTTTCTGACAGGAGGATGGTTCTATTGTTTACAATTGGTGCTGGCCCTCACCAGCACAGTCATTCTCAGGTCAGTCCTGTGGGACTCATGACCAGATTTCCTTTCTTGTTGATTCCTATGTTTTGCAGGGCTACGGTAGAGGTATTCGACCCTGCCTGCACACTGCATATCTCATGGTCCATGTCGGATTCACTACAGCTATTTAAATACCTGAGACTAGGCTATATCAAGGGAGATAGCAGGAAAATATGCACTAAAAATTATGATAAACACTCACATTTGTGGAACTAGGCTAAATAGGGAGATAGAAATTTATGATACAAACCTGAACAACAAATCAAGTCCAGGAACACAAATGCATAGAATTAAATGGGGAATTTGTGAAAACATGTAGTGCCTACTGCCGGTGCCATCTATGGAGTAAAACCTGAACAGTTGAGACTAAAACCTAATAGAAATCCATGAAGAATGTGTCATCATACAGATCTTCTCTGTGATTGGTGACCTCGTTGCTGATAAGGGAGATCCAGATGGGTGAAATGTCCAAACTGGGCTGGCTGATCAGTTTGGTTGATCATGCCATATGGGCTGATTCCTTGTATTTCCTATACCTGCTGTGACTTTCAATTTCCAAAATCCTGGTTTCATCCCAGTGTACCCTATGGACTTCCTTTGTAGGCATATCGGGTAAATTTTGGTTTTACTAGAAGACCCTCTTTGAGATTGTGCATATCTTCACAGAGCTGGAGGTCTGCCTGTTTCACCAATGTAGCTTCTGCCACATTCACAGGGAATGCTACAGATGCACTGTGCCATCTAGTGTGGATCTCTTTCTGGCCTGGTTTTCATGAGTGAACTCCTAAGAGTGTGTTTCATTCTGAAGATTGTCCTAATGTTATATCAATTCCCTGTATGTTTGAACTTCTCTGAAACACCATTCACATATGGAATGTTTCAGATACGTTCAAACATACAAGGAATTTATATAACATTAGGACGATCTTCAGAACTAAACACACTCTTAGGAGTTCACTCATGAAAACCAGGCTGGAAAGAGACCCACAACAGACTGTACAGTGCATCTGTAGCATTGGTGAAACAGACAGATGTCTGGCTGTGTGGCTCAATTAAGAAGAGGGTCATAGGTAGGCTGGGACAAAGCTAGAGTCAAAATGAAGAATAGCAAGCAGGTCACAGGACGTCTGATAACAATAAGAGGAGGGGAGGATGGAGAGATGCATGATTAGATAAAAAAGTGGTTGAGGTGACACTTGATATTGGGATCATTGGAAGGGCAGGTATGTGTCACACCATGGAAAATGGAAGGGCTAGCAGTTGCACACATGACATTTAGCCAAGAATGGTCGAGAGTTTCATATAAAAACTGTAGATTTTTGTGAGTGTTCTGTATTATAGTGTAAAATATTGACCCCTCCCACCCCGCAGCGGTAACGTAACGCTCGCGGTAATNTGTTTTTTTTTGTAAAGAAGGGATTATGTATTATTATGGATCAAAATTACAATTACCTATCAACTTTTAGGTCTGTTCTCAAATACTAAATATAATTAAACTTTGAATAATAATTCCAGAGATGAAACATGGAGATGAATGTACAGATACATATGGCCTCCCCAACTCACACCAATTTAAAAATTTTATGCAAATTCTACATAACTAAAGTTAAAACTAAACTAAGTTAAACTTTGCGAGTCACATTTTCGCCACACAAGATTTAATATGTATACCAGTATTACTCTGAGAGTGATAAAGGTTAATATACAAATGGTTATAAAAAATGGACTGTGAAGTTGTAAATGAAATTGTAGTGGATCAATGAATGACAGGCTTTTGCGATAAATCTTTAGAATATCTGAATCCCCAGAATAACTTCAGTGCTCAAGGAAAACCTCGTACCTTAGAGTTAGAAATAAAGACCTCTTTGTGATGCCTGCAGAGACTTGGACAAATGATTTTTGTTTGTTGCAGATTTCCATTCCATGTGGCTGATGGGGCATGTGCTTCGAGATAGCTGTGCCTTCTTTATGAGACGTTCGTTTGGCAGTGATAAGCTGTACTGGACCGCGTTCAGTGAATACGTTCAAAAACTAGTTACAGATGGAGAGGCTGCTATTGAATTTTTCATTGAGGGCACTAGGAGTCGAACTGCAAAGTCTCTGATGCCTAAGTTTGGTAAGATTACTCATAATTCCTTTAGAAGTTTGTTTAAACTCATTGTATACTTGAGTGCATTGCAAATGAGTGATACAAAATTTGTTAGCATTTGAATGTTTTGATCACCAGCAGTCTCCTTATTATCAGGCAGATTGCTGGACAATGATGAGTATCACGACATTTCTACAGGTATTATGTTTTTGGGCATTATCCATTGTCTTGTCTATTTTCTGAAAAACTGTCCTGTTTATTTTTCAAAACAACGTTTCAGAGATTGGATTCTATCCCTGTCCTCTCCTATCTCAGGTTTTACCTGAGGACGGGGACAGAATCCAGTCTCCGAAACATGTTACGAAAAAGAAACAGGACTTTTTTAGAAGATAGACAGGGCGATGGATAATGTCCAAAAACATAATTCTTGTAGCAATGTACCATCGTCACAAACTTTTAGATCATATCATGACATTTAATGAGGGAAAGGTGTAATATTTTTGCTCTTTTCATGAAAGTGATACAAGCCAAAAGATATGGCGGGCACCTACAAGTATGAAAATAGGAACACAAAACTTCAGCAAGTAAAGTGTACTGAGTACTTTCAGAGAAACCATATGCATTGTTATAAAACCATATTTTTAATAACAGTTGAACCTAAATAGATGGATATTTGTGCCAAGGCTTACACATGTTTCCTTGATGAGCATTCAGATGAAAATATCCCTTTATAAAACTTAAACCAACACATGGTTTTGACATAAAACATGATTAAAACTGAATGCAGTGCAGTGTTTTTTTTGACAAGTATGGATTATATATGCTAGTGATTTTGTTTGTGNTATTATCATGGTGTGGATATTCAGACCTACAAGCTTCATCACATAATTCATTGGTTAATGTCAAAATGAATGACAGTATTTCAAGCAATTCAGAATTTTCATGGAAGACATTTTTAAAGTTCCCTATATCATATTACCATAATGCATTTAACTTAATCTAATTTTTTATACAAACATTATACATTTCTTAAGTTATATGAAGTGTGAAAATCCAGNGATGAGGATATTCAGACCTACAAGCTTCATCACATAATTCATTGGTTAATGTCAAAATGAATGACAGTATTTCAAGCAATTCAGAATTTTCATGGAAGACATTTTTAAAGTTCCCTATATCATATTACCATAATGCATTTAACTTAATCTAATTTTTTATACAAACATTATACATTTCTTAAGTTATATGAAGTGTGAAAATCCAGTATTTAGTTTTGTTTTTGGGAATTTCTCGTGAAAATTGGGGGAATAAATTATGTGGAAGCAGGTATATATGATAAACAATAATGGACCTAACCTAAAGCCATTCAGATGAAAGAACACCAATGATCCAGCTGGGTCAAAATGCATCTGTTAAATATTGCATTGTTAGTGTAAGTATAATAAAGAGCTTATTGGAAATATTTATCTGACATAAATTAATATAACTGTTCAGTGTGAAGGAACTGAAACATAGTGCAACAGCATATTTGGTAAAATATTTCACATTCCAAACTGCATATTTAGACAGTGCATGAGCTTAGCTTATTCAAATACCTTCCAAGGAACATTTCTTTCAAAAACCAAAGAGAGTTTAAAAAGAATTGTCTTAAATCAATGAGAAACTATGTTACCTAAGAATAATTTTAAAATATATCTCATTAGGTAAATAGAGTGAATAATTATAATTGTTCAGTCCATGATGGGGAAAGTGCTATTGCCTGATGAGTTACTACATTCTGTTCTTTACTGTACAACAGTATGATCAAGGCACTTAATCTGGGCTCCACCACAGTAATGTGATAGTGTTTCCATCTTGTTTGCTGTAGGTGCCTGGTTTGAATTATGGCTGTGGCACGAATTGTTCTAAGTATTTTTTTGTATATATGGTTTTCCTCAGTCCCGCTGAGCCATAAATAATTGCTTTACGTCCTTTCCACTTCATTATTCTCCTTCAACAAATCATTGAGCGCAATATAGTATGAGATACTGACAGCATTGTCAAATATAATACAAACAACAAACAAGCATTTTCATAGCACAGAGATATATAATTGGTCTGCTGGAGTAAAGTTCCCATATAATTTTATTTCTGCTCACTCAGTTCTTGGAATTAGGATCTGGCATGGGGTTTACTAACAACTGTTGAAATATATTCATTTTCTGAGACTGGTAATAAAGATCATTGCAGGATGCCCTGGTTCTTTCCATGGTAATGCCTCTTCCTCTCTAATGTATACAGCAGTAATAAAATATTATATAACAGCTGTTCTCTGATTAAACTGTGCAGCACATCACCCTGAGTGCCACAGTACACTTATATGTTTTTTGTTGTGGGAACTGATTAGTTTTCTTTTTCTTCAGTGTCTTCTTATTTTCTGTACAGATCCTGTTACTTATGAATGTACAATTTTGCTAACCTTTCTTCATTTCTCTTTTTGTGAGATAGTGTGACATGCTGTGCAGCCCTTAAATCATACTTAGCCGCTGTTAATCTGTCTTCGGACATTACGGCACATGTAGGATTTGAGGTTCTCATGGTGGTTATGAAGAGTTATCTCTTCTGGTATATAACACCGTGTAATCTGCTGAAAGTGAGCTTACATTTAGCAGGAATGTGTTGCCTCCATCTGAATGCCTGGTTTCTTGTTTCGGTTATTCTTTGACCATGAAGATGACGGCGGCGTGTTCTTCCAAAACTTCGGTTTACTACTTGGTGTTATATCCCATAAGAAAGAACTCTTCATTATAGTGCATGTTTTGGTGACAAACAACAAGATTTTAAAGAGTAATTCAGAATGTAGTATAAAAAATTTCAAACATTATTTTGCATTTTATTAAGCTGTTTTGCAACATGTTTATAGATGGCTTTTTAGCTATACAGTATGAAGACAAAGCAAGTAAAATCAGTATTTCAGTCTTTAAGGAATGCATTGTATTGTGTGTTAGTACTATATATATGTGTGTGTGTGTGTGTGTGTGTATGTGAGTTTTTGTTTTACCTGTCAAACACAACAAAAGCAAACACCAAATAACTCACATCCCAATATACATATCTGAGTTTATTTGGTTGTACAGCATGGCAGCATGTTTTAGCTGATGGAGCCATAATCAGGTGGTACATAAAAAAATCTTACACTATTGAATTCAGCTTTCTGTTTGGATCCATATATTATTTTTGTCTTTTATTAATGAATAAAATGACAATACAGTGTGTTTCTCTCACTTTTACTGTTCACCATTATATGTACAAATTAAGTGTTCAATACTGAACCTGAACTTGTTTAAATGCTTAAATCAAGCATTTCAACTTATTAAAATCTTGAAATATTAACAAAATATGACAAATTTTAATATTATTAAAATGTTCAGATATTAGACTAATAGAAATATCATATTCTGGATATTTTCTCATGAACAGTAACAAACCCAACATGACCTTATTTAAACTAAGGATGAGAAAATATGGATATTATCTCACAAACAGTAACAAGTCCAATTTAATCTTAGGATGAGAAAATATCCAGAATATGATATTTCTATAAGCCTAATATCTGAACATTTGAATATTGAAACTTTTAATATGTTGATATGTTGGGATTTTGGACTTTATCCATCGTCCTGGTTTTTAAGATAACAAATAAAAACACGACGTTTCGGAAATTGGATCTGTTTCCGTCCTCAGGTGAAGGAAAACACCTATTCAGTTGGGTCTCTTAGAAAGAG